TTTTTTTATGAGATCATGCATTGACAAATTATGTATGAATAAAAAATTCAGGATGTTTATTTCATTAACACATCATGATGCTAAGTTTTTTTTCCCCCTTGAGAAAGTAAATAAAAATTCCATATTAAACATTTCTGAAATGTGAAAAAAATGTAATAATATATACTATTGGATTAAAATTATAAATTTTTATTAAACATATTTCTGAAAATCTTTTAAGCATCATGCATATAGTTTATGTGAGAGAGCAGAAGCAAATAATGAGTAATGAAATAGCAATAACTAAATATCTACACAGTGTGAAATCTCTGCAAGAAGGGCATCCATGGCTCTTATCTTTCATGGAATCCATCATCTTATAGAGATATTTAAAAACGAATTCTGTGAAGTTTGATTTATGATCTCAGAAACATTACTCATTTTCAGGAAGTGGTTGCCCCAATGATTTCACTGTAACTGTTAAAAATGATCAATAATTATAAATAAGTAAGCAGTAAAATCAAAACTTCTGCCCATTTCACAAACCACTGCATTTAATAATTGTTATTGACAACTTATGTTAGCACACAGTGATGAAATAGCACATATACATATATAAATAGTAAACTATTACATAAGTTATATTAAATGTAATAAAATCTCCCTAAGATGACCATATATGATTCCTGATGATTTTTCAATTTCTGTTTCTTTTAATAGCTTTTAGATTGCTCAAACAAGAAAATAACTATTACTAATGCCCAATAATAAAGCTTTTTTATGTTCTCAGAATTACTATTAACTTTCAGAAGTTTCCAAAATTGTTTTACCAAAGATTTTGTACAATAATAAAATTTCATATGTGTTATATGTTAACTTTTGTTATACTTATTATAAGTAATGTACAGATCATAATTAAATTGCCAGATTAATTTTTCAAACTGCAGATTGGTATTTTTGCTTTCATTGAAAACATCAAAATGGATGTACGTGTAAAATTTGAATTTGTTTGGCAAAGTGAAATTCCAATAGTATGTGGATTTGTGCCTTTATGCAAACAAAAGCAAGCTCTTATGATATAAGTCAGTTGCATTTAAGAAATATATAACTTACAATCGTTACACAAAATACAATAAATATCAAACATCTTTAACATGACTCATCCTTGCCATTTTAGGTCAATACTATTTCTTCTTACTGCTGGATAGAAATTTCTATTAAAATTTTACATGCTGGATATGAAGGTTTATATATTCAGGAAAAACATGACTATTGATTTGACCATTTGTCATTTTTTATGGAAATTTTTTTCTATGTAATTTTATTCCATAGTACTGTTTTGTTTTTAAAACAGTAATTTATTCCTCTATTATAAATAAAATGACAACAAAATAATCATATTTATCACAATATGGTTTATTTTAAATCCTTTTCTTTATTATTACTTATTTTTATTTTTCGCCTTTTAGGGGTTTCATTCTGTCCATCAGAATATATAAGTGAATAGTAAAAACTGATGTTGAGAGGATGAAGGATAATTGAATTTCTGTTAAATTATATTTAACAGTACATATCTAAAAAAATAGAAATTTAATACAGATCTCCACTTTGCAAAAGAACAGCACTGCTGTAAAATCTTTAATAAGACAAAATGGTAAAAAGTAATGAAGCAGCTAAGGTGAATTTATATAGAAAAACTAACCTTTATTAAAGGATATTATATAGAATACTTTTTTTTTTTTTTTTTAAAAAAAAGGACAACTATTAAATCATCATTGGCATTTATTTCTGTATGGTTAGCTTCTGTGCTTATGTTTCAGAATATGATGCTAATGTCTGAAATGTTGACTCATACCTGATACTCTGAAGAAACTTATGGAAATGATTCACCGCGAAAATTTTATCACAAATGAAATCATGAATGTTTAGGAATACGCAGAGCTAAAATGTCTTACAACTAGTCCGAAGACAGTATGAGAATTATATAATAATCTGCCTGGGGAAAATCTTAAAGCTGATAATGTAACCAAAGTCATAGGTAAGGTTTTCAGTGCCCAGCTGAAGTTTTCGCACCCCCTTTTGTTTGCTAAGAACGGAAAATATTTAATTTTAAAATTTAGTAACATCAGTTTGGCTCCCCTTGGGGGGGGCCAAGGGACAGATGTCCACCCTCACTCCCCTCTAGCTATGCCCCAGGAGGTAACAATGAAAAGAATGTTACATGTGAACCACCATGCAAGGAGACCAATTGTCCTCCATTTGGTAGACTCTGTCCTTCTTCAAGAAGTGTCCTCCCAACTGTCTTCCTTTTCAATATTTTACAACTAATCTGTTTATCTCTGTATTAGTTAAAGATGCTGCTTCGAAATGTTACACGTCAATGGTCATGTGATGGTGCAGTTCGAAGAAAAAAACATGATTATAAAATGCACAGACAACACATTCTGGGCATATCAAAACATCACGCAGCCACACTTGTCATGCACCTCACACTTTTGCGCACTTTACTTTGTTTATTTTAATGTGTCTATAATATTATAGTTCGCATTTACATCTGATGCAAATACAAATTTCCTTTCACTGTATAATTATTATACTCTGAGTATAATAATTGTGACAATATACTTGCAGAAGACTTGAAAAATGCAGTATTTGTAACAGTTTTATCTGAGGCATCGAATCATAATGAAACAAAATTGTATCCAATAATAGTAAGATATTATAATGTTAACAATGGCACTCACATAAAAATTTTTAATTTAAAGTCTATTGAGGGCGAAGAAATTTTGGTGAACCATCTATACAGAGTAATAAATGAAAACAATTTGAAATATAAAGTTGTTGCACTAACAGCAGATAATACAAATACAAATTTTGGTGGGAAAAGATGCAAAAGGAGAGTAAATAATGTCTATGAAAAATTACCAGATTTACTCTAAAAGAAAAACACTAGGCATAGGTTGTAATACACATATTTTGTCAAATGCAATAAACATGGTATCATCTGCCATGCCAATTGATGTAGAAGTAATAATAACAACAATTTATTTGTATTTTAGTCGTTTTACGGTTCGTGTGACTGCTTTAAAAAAATTTTGTAAAGACGCAAATGTCCTGCTTTGTTCGCTTTTTGTCCTCTTTTTCATTGTAAAAAGAAAAGGGTCACCTTCATTAAATCATTTTCTTATAATATAAATGTTGTCCTTTTTTAAAATCATATCAATTTCTTAAGAAATAAAACATAAATAAAAGAAACAATCATATGATGAATACATAGATTATGTAGATAGAAGTACATGTATATTCGGTGTAAAAAAATGAGTCCATTGGAAACTGTAAAGGAGATGGCAGTGAAAATGTAAAGTGAGTTGTGAAATATCTGGTTGTGCAAGATATAGGAGACAGGTTGAAGACCACTTATTAATATCTAATTATTTGAATCTATAAGATCACTATGTCTATAATTTAGGTGCCCAAATGGGTCAAAAAGTTAAAAATTTGTTACACTTTGACTAATGTTTAGGATACCTAGCTGTTAAAATTGATATCTGCAGATACTTCCTTAAAACTGTTGGTTTCCTTGTTTTTCCTGTTACATCATAATTGGTCCTACTTTTCAGCAGGCATTATATGAAATAAATGTTGCACCATAATTCTGCTTTCCAACTTTCTTCATAAAAGTGAAAAGGATGTAAAAAAGAACAACTTTTTAAACAGAAACAGTAAATTTTACATAAGCTGCAATAATAAGTGTAGTTAAATATAGTAATAAGCAATAAAATCTATATCTAAAATTATCTAACATTCTTGCATTCAAAATTCTTTAGTTTTTAGTCATCTAAATTTTCTCAGTAATTTGCCGATTACGCCCTAATTTTTAAATAAAGATAAAACAATTGATATCTAAGACACTACTTAACAGTCTTACTTTTATTTTCAAAGAAAATATATCTATACTTTTTGCAAATATGCAGTTTTACGATTGCAAGGACAAATATTGTAGAAATCAATAACGGAATCTCTGCATTGATGAACTCTGACATAATTGTTCATTATATATAAAAACAAATTCTGTTAACATGAAAATATATATGTGGACAAGTTTTTTTACATACACAATTCTTTTGACCTAAATATTTATTTTTGATTGATTTCAAAGGTTGCAATCATAAAATATTCCACATTCATTACATAATATATAAAAACAAATATTTGAGAAAATGAATAATAATTGCCTTCCTTAAATCTTTTAGGGAAATATGTTTTTAATACAATGTCAGGTTTCTTTTCATAATACAGTGGACATATTCAACAAAGAGTTAACAGAGCGTAATGTTCGGAAAAAACTTGCTTAGCAAAACAATCCATTATACAGTTTTTATAATATTTCAAAGATTACTCCACTTGACAATAAAAACGTATCTCTCCATTAAATAGATAATAAAATATAACACAGATTTCAATCTGATTTCATAAATTTCATGCATTTTAAAAACTACTGCACACTCCAAATATTATATACATATATGCCAGAAATATATATTTCTATTTGTGTATGTACGAAGAAATAATGCATGAGTAAAATCACATATCTAATGCATTTTTTGAGCAGACTGATTAGTTTTAATGCACGCGTATGTATAATGATAATCTTAAGTTCTTGCTACAAACTATAACCACTAAAGAGAAGAGTCGTAAATATTTTATAAAAACTTCCCCAAACCCATTCACATGGCAATTACAACATACGTAAAAGTATGATAACAAAAAATAACCAGTACGGCGATAAATAGCCAATTACAATAACCCTTCATTCGTCAATAGCACTCGTGTGTCGAGAGTATTTGCCCTGAGGCCGGTAAATATCCGGGTAAGCCTCCTTCGTCGGGTCTCAGATATCAGACAGATTCTTTGTTAGTTTTTTAATGATTGTTTGATTGTAAAAAAAATATGGCAAAAAGACTTTTTCTGTCCGTTTTTTTAATCCCCCCCCCCTTCAGTGTGTATCCCAGTTGAGTTTTTTTATTTTTATGGGTGGATCATCTGGCTTGAAGTTTTTTCCAAAAATTCACCGGAATCTTTGTTGGGGATACCGAAATTGTATCAATCGGGGAAAGACGCCGTGGAAGAAGAAACTTTGTATTGCTCTTTGAGACTGCCAGGTAAGGTTAAATATTCGTAAATTCTAAATATATTTAAGGAACTAATGCTTGTTGCAGAATAAAGTATGTTTTTATTATTAAGAACGCACCTTTTGAAATCTAAAAATATCATTAAATAAACATTGACATCATGTATCTGTTATCTGAGGTATATATGTTAGATGGTTTAAATTTGTTTACTTGCGTATGTCACTGGTAATTTCTGAAAAATCTGTGTTTGGTTTTAGCAGCATTTTTAGTTTATATTTCTGTCATTTATTAAAGCGGAGATTTTTTCAGTCATTGTCAAATTTTAAGGCGACCTTTTTGTAACGAGTGTAAAGTCTCTTCTCTGTTTTTACTATTTGGAATTAAATGCGGGAAAAAATGAGATAGTACGTTTATCATGGTGTAGGAGTTAGGGGAATAAAACAAACCGTTATAACCGAAGGGTTGAAAATTATTTAAAAAAAAAGTGTATTTAAAATTGCTTTTCGTTAAATTTGGTTCTTTTGATAAAGTAAACATTATTATTACTGCTACTTCTAAAATTTTCTGCTTATAATCTTGCAGATAAAATATAATTTGTACAAGAAACTAGTTTTAAAATTATCCATCTAGTAAATAAAATATTTATAAGATAGATTTTTGCTTTAATTCTTAACTCTTAAAATTTTAGACTATTATTCTTAATGTTATAAATGCAAAAGGTGCAGGTTAATGATAGATGTGCTTGAGACTATTGTTACAGGCATTATTTGCTTAGTAGACAAAATTCTCAGTTTAAACTAATAAAATAGAATATTATATTTAATAAATAATATTGTTATATGCATGTTTCCTCTGCTATTAGGTGCTATTTTACAGAAATATTGAAAGAATTATGCATTGCCATGAATCTACTATTGCTGTTAAGAAATAAAATGCTTTTTTATAATTTAAATATTCATCCCATTACACTTTTAATGCAAGACATTTCTTTTAACCCTCGAATTCAAGTAAACCCAAATTCTTATCAATTATGTATCCTCATTAATGAAACTTTTGAATGATTTTTTTTTCACAATTGAGCTAAACAAGGGCATCTTCCAGCATTAAGTTATGCATTGATTATGTAACTTCTGCATTTACTTATTCACTAAAACAGAATTTAAATGCATAAGCTAAGTTGATAACATGTCCTAAACCTCTGAACATTTTATGTAATACAGTAGTTTTTGGAAAAATTCTAGAAATTTTATCAAAATTATTAAAGAATAATTTCTTTCTCTCCTGATTTTACATCTCATCAACCGGCAGGTCACAGAATCTCGATGTTTTACTTTTATCCCTTACTAACTTAATGCAATATATTTTACTTATTGCTGTGAAATGTTTCTCAGCAATAAGTAAAATATATTGCATTAAAGAAACTTGATATTGAGTAAATTCTATTCTTCTGGCCTTAGTGATTTTCTGCCGTAATTTTTCTTATTAAATTTGATTTGAGCTAAATTGTCTCAACGTGTTATAAACATATGTGAAACCTTTTATAAAGATTCAACCAATGTTTAATTAACTAATATTTATTTTTAATTTTGTTTAGTTTGTTAATATAGTGCATTACTAATAATAAGTTAATCTACTCAGGAGTATGTATTAATAGTAAGTTAAATCTACTCAATAGTATGTACATTATGTTTTAAATTTTATTTTCATAATATTTAAAAGTATTTTGATGAATAAAAGCTTTGCTTCCCTTGGGTTTTTCTTAGTGTGTTTAAAATTGCTGCCAGGTAAGGTTAAATACAAGAAAAAATACAAAGTTAATACAAAATACAAGAAGGTTAAATACAAAATACAAGAAGAGATAAAAGTATATTTTAGGGTACCCCTTGGTGAAACTTGGTGTTTTTTGGCGGCACATGGATACCGAGTTTGTACAGTTCTTTGACTTATTATTTTGGCTTGCATAACAGCGATTTTTGTGCCAAACATCGCTGCTACACAAAGCCAAAACAACTAGACAAAGAATTGCACAAACTCTGTATCCATGTGCATATCGACCTATTTTCACTTAAAAAAAAATCTCCGATTTCCACAAAAATGGCATTGCGCACTCCCTTGAATTTATCCATGCACACTTTGATCTATTTTCACTTAAAAAATTCCAAGAATTGCACAAACTTGCATAGAAAACTCCCTTCACTTTGTCCATGTACACATCGATGTATTTTCACTTAAAAAGTCAAAGGAGCACCCAATTCTAAAATACAGGCAAACAAAAAATATTTAATCTCAATAAACGACATTTTAAACCAATCAATAAAATAACATAAAAAAGGAAAAACATGTTATACGTTTAAGCACTACAAAAAGCATATATCCACTTACCCTATTTAGAAGTTCCTTCGTCTTTAGTCTGTGGCACACAAAATTCCTTAACAGCATCCAAAAACTTCCCATAGTTATCTGAACTTGAATCCATATATTGGCATCGCCACATCTGAACCTTTTTTCCTACAAGCCCATTCAAATCCATCTAAACGGTTTTTACGTTGGGCTAGACGCATATCCTTCCTACATACGGGACATTTATAATGACTACTAATAAACCTTCATTTACACATCAGTCATTTAATATTTACACATCAGTCAATTAATGCTCTTTTCCTCTTTCGTTCCAAATCGTACAGAAACTTGAAATTAATCTTACTACATTCAGCCATTCTACCGTCTAAACAATAAAACCAACACACACCACAAAAGCGCTTGCCAAACATCTCATGATTCAAAATTTCCCAGAATCACGCACGCGGTTACGTCACAACAGGGTTTCCATAACATTCAACTACTCAGGTTACCATAAATGAAACAACAACATGGCGATAAATGAAACAACTTCACCATAATACAAGGGGTACCTTAAAGTCTACTCTAACACAAGAAAATTATAAAATGAAACTGAGGAGCATAAAATTCAGAATATCTGTTAAAATAAATTTATATCTGAATCATATTGTAAACACTAATTCAGAAGTCAAAATACAGAAATCAGCATTATATTTTCAAATTTTCACAGGACCAGTTTTGATGGTTTGGTAAAATCATCAAAACTAGTCCTGTGAAAATTTGAACATATAACACTGATTTTTGTTGTTTGACTTCTGAATTAGTGTTTGTTCGGCTTGTTATTCTGTCTTAATCATATTGTAAACAGTTCAGTAACCTGGATCATGCATTATAAAGTGAATTTAAGTTAATCTGGTGTTCTTCAGAAGTGGCATTGCTATGCAATGCAATAAACTTTCTGGTTTTTCATGCTACAAGGCTGAGAGCTTTATTAAAAATAGTTCTGCTTTAATGTGGTTTTATTAACAGATTTACTTCAAAATAGAAAATTATTTATATTCTTTGGGATTGTTTTCTTAGTAGTTCTTAGAAGTAATAAACTTCAGAAATTAATGTTCTAGTTATTAAGTTTAATTAAAAGGTTTTGGAAGCAAGTTTAAATCAGTGGTTATTAGATTTATTTTCAGAATAAATAATATTTTCTATTAATTTATCTGTTATAAAAAGTCATTGAACGGTTATAATACTCTGCAGTAAAAAGGTAGCTCTTTGAAACAATCATCTAAACACTTATGTTCGTAAGTTTTGGTGACTAAATGTGGTGATCAATATCAGGACAGATTTAACTTTTTAGCCTTTAAAGTTAAATCTGTCCAGAGTAATTTCTGTATAAGATAATTATTTTTTTTTGATTAATGTATCATAAAAAGTATGCACAAGCTTTATGTATTAAAAATACTTTTATATATTTGCAGTTTTTTGTACAAAAATTTCTAATGCAGAGGGCGCCTGCAGGTAGTGTATCATCCGGAAGACCTATAAAATGTGTCGTCGTTGGCGATGGGACTGTGGGGAAAACTTGCATGCTGATATCGTATACAACAGATAGCTTTCCTGGGGAATATGTTCCAACAGTGTAAGATTCTTTATCTGTTTATTCATTATAACAGAAATATATTTCAGTGAAGGAATTTACTAGTAGAAATCTTGTTATTGCTTACTTTTATGCATATGGTTATAACTAATTAACTTTAATTTGTATATATATATAATTTTGTTCTATACCTTTTTTTATTAAATTTCATTATACTTTCTTATTATCTTCTCCTTTACCAAATTTTGCTGGCTCATTGGTGATTGTGAATTAGTGAAAAAATTATGTTTGGCTTATGAATTAGTGAAAAAATTATGTTTGGCTATCTTTATGGCTTACAGCTTCTGTTCATAAATAATAAAAACATTTTATGAGAAATAATACATTTTACAATGGCAGAAAAATAAACCTAACCTTATGGTTAATATTTACATTTTTGAAGCTGTGGATAAGTGTTTGGTGAAATGACAATTAAATATAAAGCATTTAAATCCATCTGTATTCAAATATGTGTGCAGTATGCGCATGCATGTGTTGGCTATTGTAGAGTGCATATTTAAAAATGTTCCCAAGACATAGCAGTGCTGTCAAATACTGAAACTGGAGGTGTAAATAACAAAGTATCGGTTTTATATTTACTGAACACTTCTAGTTAAAGTCTGAAAACTGTTTTCATAAAATACACTACCTTATTATGAGAAAATTTGGTGCTGGAAGTACAGTGAACTCCTGATTATCCATGTTAATGCATGTGCATCAATAATAAACTGGGAAATATAAATAATCAGAAAAATGTCTTGTAGACTGTAAAAAATGAACTCTTAGATGGGATATAATAGTATGCTGTTGAAGATGGTGTAATTTAATTCACAAGCTTTTGTTAAATTAACTCTAATTTGTAAGCCTCTTGTGATGATTTTCTATTTCAGGAAAAATATGTCTTGCATGTAATAATCAGTTTTGTTAGATTTTCTTTTCCTGAAAATTAAGATATCTTCTGGTTTTGCTTAAATTTAATCAGAAGCATTGTAGATAACCTAAAATTTAAATAGGTGCTGAACAATATTGTATGTTTTTAATAAATTTATTGTAGTTATTAAATTGGTTAACATCAAGACAGTAGGATGGAGTTCGATTGTTTAGTCTTCCATTGAAAAAAATCTCAATAAATAAGTTAAATTATTTCAAATAGATAAGCTGAATTATTTCAAAATTTAAATTTAAATACCTGAATATAAATTAAGGTCATCATAAGTGTACTAGTAGTGCTGAAGCCGAATGAGCTTTCAATTTGATGAGTTCTTTTGCAACAGGAACAGCTTTGTACAACATATTTCAGATGTAATGACAGTCTCTTTAAATAGGTTTAAGAGATTTATGTTTTAAGAGGCTTTAAGTATAAAATCTTTTGTATTTAAAAAAAGAAATGTTTTTAAAAAATCGGTGCTTGACTATAGGGCTTATTGGAAAACGAGTTGACATGAAAGAAAGCCTTTGGCAGCTTCTGGCATAAACTGTGCCATGTCATTAAATTTATGCATTATTTTATAATTTTTGTGATAGTTTGTGATTATTATATTTTTAATCTTTTTTTTGTTTATACTTAGTTTATATTTTATGTTTTTGTAAAAAAAAAAAAAAAAAAAAGAGTATTTAATTAAATTTTGATATTTTGTTTCTATTGTATAAAGTGTGAACCTTTTCTTAAATGCTCATAGTCTTAACAACTTGTCTCTGTATTTTAGTCGCCCTTTGTTGCTCATCTTTACTCATTTATCTTCATTTCGTTTCTTTGTGTTCTTTAGTGGGCTATTGTTTATTCACAGTATCCAAAGTACTGTGTTTGATAAAATCCTATGGCTTTCATTGTTTTTGTCTTTCTGCAGTTATTCTTTGATGTGTGTTTTTCAGTTTATATTGTGAAATCAGAAATTTTAGACCCAGACTGAACAAAAACTAACCAAAATAAATTTAGTGCAACTTCCCGTGAAGTAATCTTCAGAAATGGCTAATAACATTAGATGCTGACCTTGTGGACTACATTTGAAGATTGCTGCATTATTGTGTTGCCAGATTTGTAGTCTAAAGAGAAGATATATATTACTATACATATTTATTATACAAATCATTCATTATCTTTTTAAATAAAGTTAGTTTCCTTGTATATTGCAGTATATAAAAGGTAAACATATTAAATATTTAACTACATATTGGTGTCAGTTAGTGATAAAATTCTATCTATAAAAGTACAGTCGTAAACATGAGAACTTGACAGTTGACAATGCACAATTTTTTTATTCTTTTCAATGTTATAAACATCCATTGCTGATCATCATAAGAAAATGAATCATTGAAAGTGTTATCTTATCTGTACTTCTTAATTGCATTTCATATTAAGTGATTTTTATACTGAAAATATGGTAAATAATATATTATATACAAAGCCATTACATTACAACCACCCTCCATTTATAACAGTGGGCTTGGCCAGGAACAAAACCACTGCGAGTGTACGGCTGATGTTGGAGTATATAAAGCAGCTATGCATTGTCTTTCCAAACGTATCATGATTATCGACATAATTTGAGAAGCAGCTGATTTATCAGATTTGATAAAGGTCAAATTGTTATGGCTCGGCGATTGGAGCATCAGTATCGGAATCTGCGTTTAGTGGGCTATTCACGTGCAGTTGCATCGCATTGATTTCAGAGGAGAGCGGAGACTGCTATGCATTCTTTGCCTAACTGAAGAAGCTACAACAGCTGAAATCACCACCAGTTACAACAGTGGCAACCCAGACAGTGTTTCTCAACACACTAAGTACTAGTACGTAGGCCCATATACATTGCCATTATGGGCCTACGTAGCCGAAGCATGTCTCTGCACTGACGGCACGTCATTGCCAGCTGCATCTGCAGTGAACTAAAGGCCAGTTTACACCTGTTCGAGCAACCTGCAGTGAGCCCCTCGCTACGAGTTCTTTGACAATGTAAATGCTCACTTTATCTAAGAGAAATGTAGGGGAGATGAGTCGGTGAATCTGTTTCTACTTTGAACCTGTTGAAAATCTATCCAAGCAGCAACTCCGAGCAGCGTTTGCAGAGATGTTCGTGTCCAATGCCGAGATGGAGCGATAATCTAACTGTGGCTTTTTTTAATGTGTATGCTTCTTTTGAAGTATTATGGGATACTTCACTACCTGAATATTATGATCATTGTTTACTAATACCTAAGTATAACACGGATATAACTACTGATCAGAATGAATTTAGGTTTTTGATATTGTAGAAAAAACATAGAAGAAAATTAAATTAGCGTATCGGATTCAAAATATTTATTTTAAACATATTTATTTCTGAATTTTCTTTAATTAAAAAAAAAAACAATAAAATTATATGTTATTCAACTACACAGTAAAATACAGTTTTCAAGTAAAAAAATAAATGAAAGGGCAAAGTTTTATTTTGTTGATATAAATTTTGAAAAACCAGTTTTTACTCATGGCCAGTTACACCTAATAAAATATCTAAAATTTTAAAATTTTGTTTATAGACTTTCTTTTTTATTTGAACAACAAATTAGATTTTATTTACAAATGATCAGTGGGAAGTATTAAAATAAAAATCCCTGACAGAAGGCATATGAGGCTGTTATTGACATGTTAAAATTTGAGGGTGTTGGAGTGTTCAAGCAAAAGATAATAATTTGTGCTCAACCTTTCATACTCAGAAAATGGTCTCAAACACTTCTGGAATAAATATGCTGTTTGTGCATTTTGGCATTCAAAATAAATGTTGCAGAGAACTGCAGGAGTCACATGTCTCCAGAAACCGAAGCGCTATCTGCATTTTAATTTTGATTACAGGAGCATCTCGAAGTAACGTAGTTTTTTTTTTTTCTGAATAAGTGGAGTGACCATTTCCTATAAAGTTCCAAATTATCCTTCACCCACTCTGATAAAGTTTTTGTGACTTTGGATATCCTCACCCCGAAGTTCATTTAAAAGTTGATTCAATGCTCCCAACACATCACAGTGAGTTACCCAGTCACATTTTGATTTCCTTTTCTTCTATTTTGATGAGGGGCTCGCTGAAAGTCACTCGGAGAAGTGTAAACCAGCCTTAAGAAATATCGAAATAGGACATTAGAAGAATGGAAGAAAATTGCATGGTCCGATCCATAACATTCAGCTACTCAGGCTACCATAAATGAAACAACTTGATGATAAATGAAACAGCAACTTCGTAATAATACAAGGGGTAACCTAAAGTCAACGCTAACCTTTATTTTTGATGTGCGGAAATTAAAGAAAGTCATTGAGTGCCATGACTTCTGGCAAACAAATGGTCGTGAACCGTTTGGGAGAGGATTCCCCGAGTCGAGCCATATCGGGAAATGATGCCACGCATACCAACAGCCTGGCTCATTGCTCATTACTTGAGTCAATTCTCATATTTTAGAGACAAATTTTTCACTCATACTTTCCTCTTATCCTGAATTTCTCACATATAGAGATGCTCATATCTCAAGGTTCCACTGCATAAAGAATTAAGTTCATCAAAGCACTCTTGTCTGGACTCTTGCACTGTGAAAGTTATGAAAAATAATCACATGAAAATGTTAACAAGTCAATTCTGTTTTTTGCCTGATTTGGATTTTTCAGTTTACTCTAAATAACACAAATCACACTAAAATATCAAAACATTCTGAAGCAGTTATGGTTAAAATATCAAACTTTTGGTTGGAATCGTCTGTGGTTACTTACCAGCTCTTGCTGTTACTGTTGAAATATAGAGAGCGATGAAGGGAAAATAAACCAAAATGCATCAACATGGTACTAAAAATATGTGATAGGTTTTAACAGAAAAGTACATTTATTTCTGTTAGTGTTATTCTATTTTTCTGTTGTTACCATTTTGTGAAAATCAGTTATGGAGATAAATACTGAAGTCTGCAAGTTTCTTTTTTTAGGTGAGTTTTAATTTTATTTAGAGTAAAGATTTAATTTGAGTTAGCAGCATTAACTGCTATTTTTATTTAAAAAGAAAAGTGAACTATTTTTGAAAATTTTTCACAAGTAGTTAGTTCATCTCTTCAAAATAGTAAACACTTCTGAATTTTTCAAAAACTTTAAAAAATAATCTCTTCTGTCTGTTGATTAGACTGTAATCTAAAGTTCTTAGATGTTGGATTAAATTTTTCAGATAAACATGTAATTTATATTTTCTATAATTTTAGATTTGATAACTATTCTGCTGCCATGATGTGTGATGGAATACCAGTCAGTTTAGGTTTATGGGATACTGCTGGACAGGAAGATTATGATAGGCTTAGACCATTATCATACCCTCAGGTATAAATGAAACATAATAATTATTGTTGACTTTCATATAAAATTTTATTTCAGTTATAATGTTTGGAAATGTACATTGTTTTTGGTGTGTATTACTTGGTGCATAACTAGCTCTAGATATAATTCAAACATAATTATTTTAAAGATTTTGTAACTTTTTTAGTTATTTTTAATTTTTATAATTCTTATAAGAATAAACCTGTAAAAGTGCATGTTATGCCTATACTTTAGATGTCATAATACTAAGTTCACAATCAAAATGTGTTGTTGTATAGCAAGTTACTATGTATTGAATTTTATCAAATGAAATATAATTTACTGTCCACCATTATTACAAAAATCTTTTATCACATTAAATATTTATACATGGCGTAACCATGAAGTTTAAAATTGAATTCTTAAAAAAGTCAAATTTTGAAGAAAACAACTTTATGATTGTTTAAGCCTCAATGTATATTCATTCTTTTGCTATTCTAGCATATTTTGCAATTCTATATTTCTTAGCAGATTTTTAACACCTTTTGACTGCTTTGTAAATGTCATTTCTTAGAACAATCCTTTTTTCTTTTGTTGCAGTTTTCGAAACTGCTGAAGTGCAGCCAGATCGGTACTCTTTAAGGTGAAAATTTCATTTTAGGGAACAGAAAAGTGTCTGTGTCATATCTGTCAAATAAGGCGGGTGATTAAGAACAGTCACAATTATGTTTGCAATAAGCTGCTTAACTATAATTGCATTGTGTGAAGCAAACTTTCTGCTCTTTGCTATTTAGTCGCTAACACCATAATGTTGGATATTTGGTGCATAAAATGAAATATAGTAAAATTCCAATAATCTGCAATTTCTTAAACCACAAATGCATGTAATCTGCATTCGTTTTTTCATGTAAACAAACAAAATTTCAGTTTTCAGAAAATTCAATGCAATAAATTTAATTTATTCAACATTTTCTCAATTTCACACACTTTCACTTTTCATAGTAATTGCAGATTGTGAATTTGCAAATTATTTATTTTAGATGAATTATTACTTTTGAATGTATATTCCACTTCTTTTTAATGTCAACATTTATGTTATTAACATATGTAAAGAACTAAACGGTTTTTCAGGAGTTGAATTTCAAATAAAATGCATACAATGGAAGGTTTGTTTACATTCTGAATGCTAACTTGTTTGCACTGCCAACAAATATGCGTAGATTCTTAATTGAAGCCCCTAATGAGATTTATGTGTCATTAAATATCAAAAGTATGGTAACAGTGGTATAAAAAACAGAAATTTTCTTTTAAGAAATTCAAAATTTCAGTTGTAGCATTTCTTATAAGCTGTTATTGGTGTTATAGAACAGCATATGCACAAAATGTACTGATGGATTTTGAGTGTAGGGATTCCAGTAAGGCAAACCTGTGTTGCTGAGATTTTTGTAAACAGTGTATTTACTTATTTACACAGTTTTCCTTTTATTTGAGTGTAAAAATTATTTAAAAATTAATTTCACATGTGGATATGCAAAAAATATTTTGATGCTTTTTTAAAGTTTTCTAAAAAAATTCCCTGTTGTTTATCCTTTTTCTACTTGCAAAGTTTATCTCTTGTCCTGACATTTTCTTTATTAATAAATGCGTTAAAATATGTGATAATTTTGCATTGAGTAAATTCTGATTAAATAATTCCAGAGTATGATTTTATAATTATTTATATATTAACAAATTAAATGTAAAAATAAAAAGGGAAAAAATGTAAACAAAAACTTAACCTGTAATCTGCAAAATTCTCTAATCTGCACAACCCATGGTCCCAATCAGAATTCTGCTGTAATTTTATCCAAAAGTTATCTTGTAAACAAAGGATACTGCAATAGAAGGAAATGAAAAATGATAGTAACTAAAGGCTACTAGTTATCATTTAACAGGTTCACTGGGATTGGTTGAAAAAATTCAATTCTAAAACCCTGTACACCTCATAAAACAGTATTCTGAAGGAAATGTATGATTTTTAATTTCATTTTTCCATACCATTTATGTGAAGGTGTTTCAATACTTTTAAATCGTAGAGAAGAGGCAGTTGATGATAGTATACCCAGAAACTGATAGTTGTATTCATGCATTAATAACAGTTGTAGGGTCATATTGTTGAGAATTTTTTAGCTTGGGTTGCATAACCCACATAAACATACCCAACTTGATTGACCCTAAGAGGCTTGTGACATAAGGCTATAAATCAGAAAAATTCCTTCCGTGTGGCAACATATTGACTAAGTTTCATATTTGAACAAAAAATATGAAGGTGATAAAATGTTTCCCTAAATTCAACATGAAGTGTGTTTTGCTACCAGTTTTAGCTTGATAAAAAAGGAGATTTGAGGGGGAAAAGTTTTACTTTTGAAAAGTAATGTTTCTGAAAGCTCTGTAAACATAAATTTAGAGCTCTGTAAAACAGAGATCTAAATTAATTTTCTGCTGTTATCTTTCTTCTGTGTTTATCTTCATGGGTTATCTGTTATTGTTTTTCCTCTAATTTTATGATATATATCTGTTTGTATCCTTTTTTTTTATGCAATAGTAAAGCAATGATGATGAAATAGTACTACCAATAGTATAATAGGTTAAATTTTCACAAAAGCGTCTTCTGTCAAGATTATTTACAATGTTATTATATGTGATTCTGTGGAAAAGCTGGGAAATAATTTGATTTTTGGTTTGAAATTTAATATTTTTATTTTAACCAGAAACTTGTTTGATGGCAAAACAATCAGTTTAACATTTTAAATTTGTGGAGCCAGATAACTGGCCAATAATGTAAGTTTATCATAACTTACTGCAAATTGGCATTGTGGCTTTATTTTCTGCTATTTAATGGTAAACTGCAATCTGAATTTATTATGAAATATATGCATGCCAAGTATAGTTAATTAAAAAAAATTGGGTGGGGCTTAGTTTATTGTAATTTTTATCATTTTTTGAGTAAATAGTGTTAATTATTGCATTTTAGTACTGCATTTTATCATCTAATTTAATGTTTAAAATCACAGGCAGAATCATATAAATATGGTCTGCTACTTTATAATGGGCACTTTATGGTCATTCCTTCTTCTGGATCCCTTTTGAAGAATGGAAATGATTGCTTTTGAAGATGGCTGAATATTTACCACTCAGAGAGGAATTAAGAGCTAAAATCCTAGGGGTTGTTACACCTTTGAAGCACCTGTTTAAAAGTAATACGCTATGACACAGGACTGCATATTAAGTGCCATGATCAAGAGTCTGTATTAAAGGCCAGATATTTAAGTGTTAATAATTTGCTTCAACGTAAGATTTTCAAATCCATACTGGCTAACTTTCAAGTAGCACATATCTAAATGTGGTTGTACTGAATGTGGCTGAATCTTGTTTTCTGGGAGTTTCTGTGAATGGTTTTCATTCTTCTGTTTTGGAACCTCCAGACATTTTTCTCATCAAATATTCATCCTTTTCACAACTCTAATCTCTTTTGCTGTTCACAATGTCATGAGTATGAAATTCAACTGAAATCTGTTATTTATTAATTATGTTTTGTAGTGTCACAAGAGTTATTCTGTATTTATCTGTATCTGAATGAAAATTTTCTTTGAAAGCTTTTGTCAGTGCTTAAATGTGTACATCTATGAAGTTTGTTAAAGATCTGGAAAACTGTTTTTGACATTTCAGTGATTAACAGCACCCACAAAATGCATGCATAATAATTTTTGAAAAATGTTTTTAAATTAACATTATATATATTGTAAATTAAGTAATTATGAAGTTTTATTCAATTATCATAATTAGCAGTTCAGATAATAGGTGATCTATTAATAGATTGCTGGGCACTTCTGATAATAAAAGAACAAGTAACTGCCCTCTGACATGATTTAAAAAATTACGAATTTAGTTTGAAAAATATGAATTTTTTGCAAAATTAAAACCAACTGAAAGGATTTAAAGGAAAAAAAATCTTGTTTTACTGATCTAAACTTAGTTATATTTTTATTGAGCAAATTTGCAATATTTAAGCATGATACAGCAGAAAACATTTCACACAAAGTGTTACATCGCATTTTGTACAAAACGTAATAGGACTTTCTTACATTTTTTTAAAATTGGCATCTTCTTTGGTTTCGTCTTTTATCTATAACAAGGTCTTTTCTATCTAATCATATAGAGCCTATCACTTTGGTCTTAATGACATCATCAAATGTCTTCCAATGCAAATTTCTTTGAATTTTTTTCCAATGTGAGGTATGCAACTACGATATGTCTTCAGATGCCTTTTATACCTTTTTTCACCGTGTTCCAAGCGGCTCATTCGAAGTTTCAGGAGTATTGTCAAAATTCTCCACACCACTGTTATAAGTCAAAATTATAATGGTAATCCTTTACTCTACATGATTTATAGCAAAACTGTATAGGTTTGCCTTTAAGAAATTATTTGAAAAAATGATGATTGTAATATCTAATCATCATTTCATCAACAGACAGAAATTTATTGAAAATTCCAAATTTTTTAAAACTGATTTATATGCTTGATTTATTTTCTTATTTTGAATGCCCAGCCTGACTTTTGCATTGCTGCGTAATTATTGTTGGTGAAATGGATTACAGATTTATTTTTTTATATTTATTTAGAGGCATTGGATTTTTTACTATCGGTACCATAAGATCTTCCACTGACCAGTAATCAGGTTCATTACCAGTATGGTAGCTAGAGGAAATCAAAAAACCAACAAAACACTTCAACTCATCAGTTGTAACTACTCTGGCTTATTTTTCCACATTTTCACATATTTTTCTCTTTCATTCATAATGCATTCGTAAAATTTGGGAGATAAAAATTCTTCAAAAATTTTAAGTGCATTCATATTTTTCTAAAATATTTGAAATGCTCTCAAGATTTTCACCAGACAAATTACCTTCTTTGTTAAAAGCATAAGCAGGGTTATTTTTTGTCTGGTTTGCTTTTGGCTGCATTTTTTGATAATTTTGAACTCTTTTTTATTTTCATTTTCATTGCTGGCTCTACATGTAGATGGTAGTTGTTCCGTAATGTTGAGTCCAAAATCATTTATGTTTTTACTGATAGAGTGATCATTTCACCATCATCAAAGCACTCTTCATCAGTTAACTCATCCACCTCAGGCGGTAAAGCAATTATATATGACCCAATCTCCTTAGAAAACATATATTCTAATGCTTCTTTGGCGGTGTGAAACACTTTACACTGTACATTTTGGAAAAAATGAAAAGGGAAAAAAACAATATTAGTTACCACTAACGCCCAGTGACCTATTTATAGATCAGCATGTTTAAGCTAAAATTTTAAGTATAAGACCAGTTATTTTTCTAATCTAAATAGCACAGAACAATTAAAGAGTTTTTGAAAATGTAGAACACTTAAGAAAAGTGTAACTTACTTTTAATTTTTTTTTTTTTCTGTTGGATACAAAATCGAAAGCTGTGCCATGAAGTTCACTTGGCTAACTTCAGACGTTATCTGCTGGTTTGTTCTGGAAAAGAATGCTTCAAAACGTCTTTGGGAGTATGACCACATATGTAAGGAAATCAGCCAGTGACAAAAAGAAGTGATTAAAAGATATTGTTCTCAATGGTTGTTCTAAAAGTAGGTGATTTATAAACAGATCACTGTGCGGTAATGGGTTAATCTCTTAAATTGTAAGTTCCAAAGAAAAATTTTGAGAAATTTAAAATTTTCCTGCTTCCTTTCTCCCTTAATTAAATTAATTTTATTCATAAGTAGAAGACTTAAATAATAAAATTATAATAGAAGAAGAAATCATGATAGGATGTCCACTAGTATGAATGGAGAAGAATACTGAACACTGCTATGTTAATCCAAGTTCAAATCCTGGCAATTGGGCCTGCAGCATGAAGTTTTTATGTTTTTTTCCTATGTATAATGTAAATATGAACTAGTTTTCTATAGAAATTCCTCCCATGATGCTATCCTGCTTTGTCAGAAGCTCTTGTGTGCTTTGTTGTAGTTAACTGTCAGAATATATCTGTAAGAGAGAGGAATACAACTAGTTTTGCACAACAGAAATAAGAATGAATAACTATAGGAAATGTATATAAGAAAACATGCTTTGAAAAATTATAAACTTCATTGTTATTTCAGTTAAATAAAAGATGTTAATGTTTTAAAAGAAAATAGTACCTCTGGACTTAAATTAGATATTCTCAAATATGTATCTTTCAATTTTGTTTAACTTCTTTAATTCCAGAACTCATTATCAAAGAATGTGTTTATATCTTTACTTCTCTTTTCTTTCCCTTCTTTCTGCCAATTAAAGGTGTCAGATGTCATATAGATCAAAAGCATGAGTGTATCTGTATCAAATATATTTCTTTTTAATAAGGGGAAGTACTTATGTCTTAGAATTCAAACTTCTAAGATATGCTGAAAAAATAAGAAATGTTGCCAATTAATATTATAAAATTGTAGCAATTTAATTTTTAATTAAAATTTTAGGTTGAATAAATTTAAATGTATGAAATCAATATACCGAGCATGCATTTGATTGCAGTGCTTTGTGAATATAAAAATACACTGTTATTCCTCAATTAAACTTATTTATGATTAATCAGTATTTATGCCTTCCTTTTTCTTTTCAGACTGATGTCTTCCTCATATGCTTCAGTGTGGTTAGTCCATCTTCATTTGAAAATGTTACCTCAAAGTGGTATCCTGAAATTAAGCACCACTGTCCTGATGCCCCTATCATTTTAGTGGGTAAGTTTGTATAAGGCTACATAGTATGATATGATAAAGTTTAGGGGCATTTGTTTTATGAGTATATATATTGTTTTATTAGTTTTCTATTTTTGTATTTTCATTATTATTATTATTATTATTATTTTTTAATTTTTGATAAGTGCTAGTGGCAAAATTTAAAAAAAAAAAAAATATTAAAGAGGCTTATTTACTTATTTTATGTGTAAAGGCAAATATATGAAAAGTTGTAATGATTGAAGTAATATTTTATTATTTAAATTTTTTGCTAATGATGGCCAATCTATTTTAAGCCACAACACTTGTATTTGGCTAAGATGAATATCTCTAGAGATCACACACTAACTGATAACTTCCATTGAGTAGTGCATTAAGATGTTATTTTACATTCTTTTATTGTAACTAGCCTTGATTCTGTGAATTTTTGTGCCGCTAATTTGCACAGTCCTTTTCATTTTGGGTGAATTCTTCTCGCTGATGAGCTGTTTTCAGCCTGATCTCTGTGAAATGTTTATAATTGACTTTCCTCAGTAGATTACAATACATAAATTATTCTTTGATAAAAGTCTAGTGGTTGATGGTTTCTATTGTAAAAAGTACTATTGTTTTCATGGACTGTCATGCCACATGCCTTCTGTTTTATGCTAAAAGCATCATCAAATCATTTTGGAACCTGTATTAGCCCTTTCTTGTAATCAAAATTTCACAAATGAACATTTTTGATCAATTTAATGGAGTACAAATTGCAAAATCCAGAGTCGTCAGAACTTCGATAATTCCAGTTTTGGAAGTCTTCGAATTTTAAATCATCAGTTTAAATTTAGTACTATGACATAAAGAAATTATAAAATTAAAAAGGCAAGGTAGTTAGTTTGTGAAATAATGAAGTATTTATGACCTTAAGGAAATCAAAATTTATAAAAAAAGTTCTATATGTGTTTGTTTTGTTAAATATTTCTTTCAATGTAAGTTGTTTTAGCTGCTTCTTTCGTGCTTTTTTTTTCTATTTTTTTTATGCCAGTGCTTTCTCTTTAATTTTACAGATAGACATAATTTCTTGTTCAGAATTTCATTGTTCAAGTCCTATAGTTGCTTTGTCCAGAAATCCCACTAAACTATCAGTAGGAATCTTTTCATTCTCAACAACCTCATAGTCACTGAAGATATTTTTTGGATTTAAAATCACACAATAGATTTTCCCATTTGTTAATTGACTCATGATTGGCGCATTGTCATTGCAATGTAAAACTGTTATATCATCTTCATTTATTAGCACTTTTCTACCAGGTCTGTGGAGTTGGTGGGGGAAAATGATCGAATCTAACTCCTAGAATTTTAAACTTAAAGACTCTGACTTCCTCATATATATATGTAAACATATACATGTGCTTCAGCTTATTTTTTTAATACAAAAGAAGTAATAGATTCTACAAAAAAGTTGATGGAGTTCAGATTATTTATATTAATTATCATTTATTATGGAATGAAAAACTGGCATTAATAATTTCTAAGAAACAGTACAGCTTCAGCAAGATCTTTGATAGAGGACCATAGATCTGATTTTGCAAACTTCAGAGCTGAGAATAGCCTTTCCACATTAACTTGAGCAGAAGCAAAAGCTGTTAATGTTAGAGCTACTTCTTTTAACTTGTGTATAATACAGGATAGATTAATGTAAATTCTAAAAGAGGTGTCTTGCAAGAGTGATCATATTTCTCTATTTCTTCAAGGCTTGTGTAGGAATCTTGTTTGTATTTTTTATTTTTATATCTAAAGACTCATCTTTATTTTCATCCGCTTTGCTTTAGCCTTTTCATATTATCCATATATTTCTCAAAATCTAATTCTTCATTGGAAGAGAATGCTAGAGATTCAGTTGCAGTGTCTGAAGTCTGACTGTCCTGATTTGAATACTCCAATTGCTCTGAGAATTTCATTCTTAGTGAAATTTCATAGATGGCTTTCGTTGCCTTTTTAATTTATTCGTCATCCAACAAAATTCTAAGTTTCCAATTCTGCAAAATCATTCCTTAGTTTTTCTCTTAGTGAAACATTAAGATTATCTACAATTTATAAAAACGTTCTTAATTCTAACAAGCTCTTTATCATAAAATATGTACTTCCCCATTGCGTTCTTGATCAATAATTGCTCCTTTTTTCCACTTGCCTCCTAAAAGTGGCATCAATTTAGGGAGTTATTGCTACTTGCCTAAATTTACCAATGACATTTGTAGCATGAGGTTCCTTCCACCCAATTTCTAGCAGCAAGCTGCAAGGTGTGGACTGCACAACACATTTGCTTGATTTGGCAGAATTTTGATGCCTATTCAGTAACATCATCTAAAGCTCCGTGTGAATATTCTCGAGAGGTTTCAATATCTAAAGCAGTCCTTTTTCCATCTATTCTAACAATTTCTTCATCTTCATTCATCTTTGTATTGTTTTAACCATATTAGATGCATTATTATTAACTATGCAAAGAATCTGCTCTTTCCTTATTTCAAATTGTTTAAAAACTCTTTGAATTAATTTCTGGAGATAATGGCTATCATGATGAGCTTCAGCATCTTTTACTGCTATTGTCTTCGTAATGATCACTCTATTATTATTAATAAATCTGGCATTAATTGCTAAATAGTTTACTCTGTGTCTAGTAGCATCATCCACCTTTAAGTGTATGAACTATCCTCTGAAGTCCTCTTTCAAATTTTGTTTCTTGCTTGTATTGTCATTGAGAATAAATTTATGGACACTTTCCCTATCTAATGAAATCCCAAATTTCGTCGATTTCAATTAAAGTCCTAGGAATTCAGGTTGCAAAAATACATTCCACCATTTTGTACAACCACCCATCATTCCACCATTACTACACCATTTTGTACAACTAAGTTGATAAGAATTTTTTTAAAGCTCTCAGCAGTCATAGTTATCTTGTCTTTAGTTAAAAAAATCTAGTGAGGAAAGCTTTTCCATCAGTAGAAGTGCAAGGTCCTGATATTACTTTTTCTGTTGCTCATGCTTTTATCTTTTCCTTAATTTTATCAAAAAATTGTGGATGTAAGCGTGCTACGTCCCTCAATAAGTTTGTGGTTCTTGATGGAGCATTCTTGTCAGAACCTCTAAACTTGCTTATCTTATGTCCACAGATTTTTTTTCTCACCATCAGTACCACACTTTAAAGTAACACATTGACACACAAAGTACTTTTCATCTGTCGTTATGGTGAAATATTCATTAAAAACTTGATCTCCTGGGTTGTTTCTTCAACGTCATGCTTCAGATTTTAAAATACAAATATGAATATCTGATAATATTTTTAAAATTACATTTTAATAATAATAAGTGTATTATGTATGAAAAATCTTTAAAAAAAGATACAGGAGCTATAGATCATATATATATTGTAGAGTTCCTCACTCTTATTCTTCTAAATTAAATGTGGAGAAACCTAGTGAAATGTTCAGTGAATAATCGCTTAGTTCAAAGAACAGAAATTATAAACTCCAGAAGGGTTAAATACCCTTTTTCAATCAAATAAGATGAACTGTGGCCATTTTTTTTCGAGCCTACAACATAGCCTCCACTTGGGCTTAAACTCAAAAATAAGAAATAAGAACTAAGTATATCTAGCTACGAGATTTAACTGAAGCTAACACAATTCTAAGATAATTGGCTTGTAATCTAAACTAGCCAGCGAACTATCAAAAAGCACATAACATATGGCCAAGCGTAACAGCAGTTTAGAGAGACTTAGCCCAAAGGCAAACGCACACTACTCAGGATTCCTAGCTCTCTCTCTAAGTAAGTTGAACTTTCCTTTAATACTATTTCTTACTCATTTGCATTCAATGCGGTTCTAAAAACTTATTCTGGGAGTTGTAAATTGAAATGAGGAGCGATAGGAAAGGTTAACTAAATTAAAATAACTGTTATAAAACTAAAAAAATACAATATAATATATAAAATTCTCATAATTATATATGTAATATATAAAATTGTGCTCTTTATCATAAGATGAACAATTAGCAACAATATATATCCGAAATAGGTCATATTTTCATAAATATATTACTGTTGAGGATTTTATGTAGGTTATATATATATTCTTATTATTATTAAAAAAGGTTTTTGCATAGTATTTCCAAGGAAAAAAAAATTTAAAGCTATGAATTATTAGAAAAAATTTTAATAAGTAGTAATTTAAGTCAGTATTTAAAGTTATTTAGATTTCTATTGTAGTTAAAACTATTTAAAATCCGTATAGAAAAAAAGTTAACTGTAAAAATTGCTGATTAATTGACTTGTCAAGCAGAAAGAAATCTATCTACTGTTAATTAACAATAACCAAATTAAGTGAGAACGTTTCATCTTTTTCAAATAAGAATCAAATTAGTTATTTTGTTAGAGTTAGATCATAAGCTATAACCAATACTCAATTATTAAAAAGCTATTAGTCTACTTAAGCCAAAAAAGTTTTTGTCATAAACAAAATCTAAAATAAAAATTAGTAAGCTACTCTTCTTAATTTAAGGTATTGGTTAAGAACTGAATTAGATGAGATTGTTGTTTCAATATATATATATATATATATATATATATATATATACTCTGACACTCTCACAATATTTTAAAAATAATAAAAACAATTAAAAAACTACTAATATTTGGGCAACTTAATATATACAAAAGACTTTAATAGAAAAATGTATAAATGAGTATTATTTTATACATTTTGCGATCAATAATAATTTGCAATCAAACTCAAAAGTAAACACAAAATTTATGTATTCTTTGATATTAAAACATTCTTTTAAAATCAAACTCAAAATCAAAAGAAGAACAAAATTTATATATTCTTTTATATTAAACATTAATTTCAAAATCAAAAGTTGAAAATGAATATGTTATTTTAGATTAAAACATTCTTTTATAATTAAACTCAAACTCGAAAGTAAAAATAAAATTTATACATTCTTTTATATTAAAACATTAATTTTAAA